ACATTGTTGTTTGCCTGAGGTATTCCGTATAACACGGTTTGTGAGATTGTTGCCATTTACATAGAAGTAGGTATTATTTCTAACAGCAGTGTATAACTTACATGTAAGAAGATAATGAACAGTAACTTTTTTTTTTTTTTTTTTTTTTCAGTGCAATATTTTGTACTTTTTTTTCAGACGGGAGGAGTTTGAAAAGAGAAGGATAGCGGTATAGACACAGGGTGCAGAAAGGTTTTTTACTCACAAGGGAACAAAGAATTCCATTTCATACGAAATTTTTCATCCTTTTCTCCGAAAATATGTTCTTCTAGTTTGAAATGGTATTTTATGAAATATATAAGTTGGTTAATATTTAATTCCGTAAAGTCATATCTTGTTTTGTTAATATATTTCTTGATAATGATAAACAGATGGTTAATAAGGACAGGTGCCTCCGGGTCTCCTAGCAGGAAATGTTTAACATTTATACTTATATTACAGCTAGTTTTGTATCGATACCACTCAACAAATGTTGTGAGAAGGTGTTTTGTTTTTTCACAGAAATAAAATAAATGTTCTAAAGTTTCTATTTCTTTGTTGCAGAGGATACAGGCATTATCATCACTGATACCTATCTTAAACAAAAATGACTTAGTTGTAACTATTCGATGAATCAGTTTATACTGAAAATTCCTGGCTTTATTTTCTATGGTAATTTTATTTATCAGTGCAAAACAGTCACAAAGATAGTCATCTGCTAGAGTAATATTAAGTTTGGTTTCCCATTTCCGCTGAAGATTATAGAGAGAGCTTCCTTGACTTTCACATAGCTGAGTATATATGAATTTACAGTTAGCTGACTTGAGTATTTGTGTGAGAGTATTACACTGAGTGTTTACTGATTCTATCTTTTGATTTGTGTCTCTGATGGCTTTGATCCAGTGTTTGGGTATATATTTAAAAAATCTGAAATAAAGGAGATATGTTTCTTTAAGGTTAAATTCTTCTTTAAGCGTATCATAGGACTTGAACTCACCGTTGTTCGAGACAATGTCTTTCATATATTTCATGCCTTTTTTTATCCATGAGACGAACAACCCAATATCGGTAACAGGTACAAAATTAAGAAGTGGCAAGCACATAAAATCTTCAACACTTTCACTAATTTTAGAATGGATACATGCATAGCATGAAACAACATCTTTCCAAAAATAGTTTTTAATATTTTTAGAGTAGGATTGTATTTTTTCCACTTGAAAGCTGAATAGATTAATGTCACCAAAAGGTGATAATGTCTCAAATGCTAGGTGCTGCCACAACCCCTTTGATGTCAGTAATCTCCTTATCCATTTGATTTTCATGTACTTGCAGAATGATATAACATCGATCATTTTTTAAGCCACCCTTACAGTAGTCGTTTATCAACATTTTCCTTTTGATTTTATCACGCTTCCCACCCCAAATAAACGTAAAAAGTATAGTATTCAAACGTTTGAAAAAGAGTTTAGATGGATTAGGGAGGGCGATAAACAAGTGTGTAAAAAGGGGGATAATTTGAGTTTTAATTATCGTTATTCTGCCTATCAAAGTTAATGATCTATTTGACCACGAGAATAATATTTTTCTAATTTTTGAAAACTGCGGTTCGAAATTTAATGTAATCATTTCTTCTAAATTGGTTGAAAAAATTATTCCCAGGATTTTAAATGGTTCTTTGGACCAGCGAAGAGGTATATATGGGCAGAGTTGTTCATTTGTGTCTCGTTTGGACCCTATCCAGACAGCTATAGTTTTATCACAGTTTAAATTTAGACCAGATACTATTGCAAATGTTTTAATAATATGAATTAGCTCTGACAGTCCTCGTTCAGATCCATCTAAAGTGAAATTCATATCGTCTGCGTATTGGAAGATGAGATATTCTATATCTTTTATAGTAATACCATTGATATGCTTATTAGATTTAATTGCAATAGCCAATAGTTCGACACATGTTACAAAGAGATATGGCGCTACTGGGTCTCCTTGACGACATCCGCGTCCTAAGGAAAAGAAGTTCGACAACGAACCCGATAAAATTGAGGCACTACAGCTATTACGCTGAAAGAGTTTAATCCAATTTCTAAGTACCGGGCCAAAATTAAATACTTCCAGTACCTTGTCAATAAAGTCCCATTCGATAATATCGAATGCCTTCTCAAAAATCTGTTGCAACTAAAAAAGACCAGGTAGTTTATATTCTTCACAATAATTCATTAAGTCATATAATATTCGAGTATTTTCTCCTAGAAATCTATTTTTTAAGAAGCCTGTTTGAGTTTCACTTATTATCTCAGGAAGGACTTCTTTCAGTCGTGAAGCTATGGCCCCAGATGCAATTTTGTAATCTACATTTAGAAGAGTTATAGGTCGCCAATTTGTTAAGTATCGCCTATCACGAGAGTCTTTAGGCAAACACGTTATGATACCTTGTCGTTGAAAGTCTGACAACATTCCAGATTCGTATGCATATGTAATAGATCGCCAGAGAAATACACCTATGTCTTTCCAGAAAAATTTATAAACTCTGCTGTGAAACCATCCGATCCAGGACTCTTTCGATTCTTCATACTATTTAAGGCTCGTGTACATTCATCTAGCGTAAGTGTATTTTCACAAAATTCGCGTTTATCATTTGATAATTTCTGGTCATAATTTTTCGTAAATACATCCAGGTAATCTTGCCAATCTTTTGCGTGTTTACTTGTGTATAAATTGCAATAATATTCTGAACATTCTCTCAATATGTCTTCCTTTTTCCGTCAGAATTTCATTTTCTGTTATTATTTCATTCATGTTCTTATTTATATAGTTTCTCTTTTCTAAGTTCATAAAATATTCAGTATTCTTCTCTCCCTCTTCATACCATTTGGCCTTGCTCCTAAATATGATTCCTTTTATTTTTTGCTGTCCTAATAGTTTCGAGTCTTTCTTTTTAAACACAATTTTGTATGATCACCACTACTTAATATTTGGGATCTAGCCTCCATTTCATAGATTTCACGTTCCAGCGTCTTTTTCTTCTTTTTCAGTTTGTTTTTCATTTTAATTGAATATTCAGTTGTCTTAGTTCTTATCTTCATTTTTAATATTTCGAAAAATACTTGATCGTTTACTGATAATTCAATACCTTCTAAATTGTCGATGTTTCCGGTAATACAATATTCGGCCACTGTTTCCGTATCGTTTGCTTGGACTTGTGTTACATAATCATTGTCATACAATAAAGATGGGTTGAACTTCCAGTAACCCGGTCCACGTTTTACTGGACTAAGGGGCAAGTTCTAAGGAAATAATAGAATGATCTGATCTGTAACTTACATCTATAGAGGTACGTTTAACTAGGGACATAAGCTCTTCAGAGACGAGGAAATAATCGAGCCTACTCTGTTTTACTCCATTCCTTTGACGCCATGTGTACTGCTGTTTATCAGGATTGAAAATTCTCCACGGGTCAACTAAGCCTAGTTTTGTTTTCATGTCGACAATTTTCATATATGCTTCAGGATTATTTCTATGTTTTAAATTATAAGTGTCCAAATTATAATCCTGAACTACATTCCAGTCACCGCCCCAAATAATCGCTCCAGGTAATTGTTCTAATTCATTTGCAAGAACTTGAAAGAATTCAGGATTATCCTTATTTGGTCCATAGATATTTGTAATTGAGAACCGAATACTTTCTATTGTCATATCCAATATGATAAAACGTCCATTTTCGTCCAAAATTATTTCATGCACTTCATATTCAAAGTTATTTTTAATCAGTATTAATGCCCCTGCACTATTACTGGTTCCATGTGAGAAATTACATCTGTAGCCCCATTCGGCTGCCCATGTCTGTTCATTTTCTAAAATACTATGAGATTCTTGAATAAATATTATAGATGATTTCCTATTTCGTACGAACAGTATCTTCATTGTGGTATCCACAAGCGCATCCAGGGTTGTTAGAAATGTGTCTATTTACTTTATCCGCATTCAAATCACTACAGCCGAGCTTAAGTCGACAGTGTACGATATGACAGAATCGACTGCCATAATTTAGATCTAGATAATTTTTTGATTCATCATTGTCTGCTATTGATGCACATTTATGTGCTTTCCTCTGTCCACCAGTGCTGTGCTGGCAATGACTAGGGCCCGCGTGTATAGCTGTAGTAAGATCAAAAGTAGACAATTTCAGGTATCGGATTTGTCATCCTCAAGTTCAAACGATCCGGTTCATTTTTTCAATATTTAAAAATCATTCCAATGAATATTTAGCGTCCAAATGACTCTTTGTTGTGTACTCAATCTACAACAACTCAAGACCATCCAAACAGTTTCTCCTCTCTATTAACAAGAGAGAATTCATATGATCTGAGAACTGTGTGTGCTACAGTTCGGCACCGCTGCATTTGCCAAGGCTATACTTCTCTACAGAAAGACTTGGGATGTTCGCTGGTCACGTTTTGAACTTCTGCGCAACTCAAACAGGACGTATTCGGCAAAGATTAACGACAACCACAATAAATAATACTCACTAATAATTTTATCCTGATTGAGTCTATAGGTGTAATTATGGAGGCAATGGACTCTTTACATCGCATTAAATATAATAAACACTTTTACAAATCGAAATGTAATGGTTATGTCACGACTGCTGCAAAGCAAAAATATCACTTCCGGTAGCGTTGTTTGTAACTAGCGACGACCGTAGCCTGGTAGTGATGGCACGCTTGAAACATGGTTTCAAATCAAAGAAGCAAAAGCACCGTCTTGAAGAAATATCCAAGCGACAGAAAGACAGATGGAGGGTGAAGAAACGTGTGCTTCCCGTGAAAGTAGATCACGACCATTGTGCGAGTTCTTTGAAACCTGACCTCAACTTCTGTCACACGGAGGAAACCGTGCGTTGCGATTCATGGAGAGAGGGGAGGCGTGTTGTGGAGTTGGGGTGCACTTGCTGATGGACTGTCAGCCTGCAAGACGTTCATTACCCCTTGTTCTTAATAACTGCTCTGGAACTAACATCACAGGGGTTGGGTTCAACACTGAAGATACTTTGCTCCGCGTGTAGGTCGACTAACTATGTCAACACAGGCAAGAAACAGAACCGGGTGTTCGACATGAACAAGAAACTTGTTGCAGGTATGATTCAATGACGTTCATGAAATTTATCATTGTGATTTTGCTATATATTTTTATATGATTTCTAATGAGTCGTTTCAGAAGAGAAGTCTACTCAAATTCAATCAATTATACGCCACAATTTATCTGTCAAAACATGGTCAGGACGGCATCTATTTTAGAACAGCAGACCCAAACAATTTTACTCACCATGATAAATCAAATTTATTTTCAGACAAATGGACATTGGAAACTTGACCGAAGTGAAAACCATTGCCATGTTAAATATCACACAGATGCAGTGAACGAGCATTATCTGGTTACATAATGATGATGAATGAAGTCTACACATTGATAAAATATTTTTATTTTATTAAAAATCCAACCTTCCTATCCTGGTCTTTTTTTAACCCTATGTTTTAAAATTACATCTGTCCTTTTTCAGCCATGTTGCATACAGGTCTTGGGGAAAGCGATGTCAACAATTTGCTTTCGCTGCCCTTAACATACCAACTGTAGAGCCATTTTATGCTGGACCAGCGACAGAAAGAGACAGGAGCTGCAATGGAAAGTGTTGCCAAAAGAATCCATGCAAGATTCTATCAAAGAAGAAATCATCTTCAGGTTCTTCTTAATTCACATTTATGATTAAAATTTTATTTAAAAATCAGTATGTTGTAGGTATCATACAGAGTATTTCCTCTACAAAGTGTGTGCATTAAATGCGGCTGATAGAATGTTGATCTTGGTACATTATAAATTTGCAATGTGCAAGTAATTATTGAGTGTGAATTTCAAAGTATGAATTATATAAACTGGTTGGTTGAAAGTGCACAACTATTTCACAGAAGTAAGTAATAATTGGGAAACATTAAATTTTAAAATGAAATTGCGACATCATGTTTTTTCCTCTTCTCCAGTTCTCGGCAGCCGAAGAATCTGTGTGGAGTGTTGATGCAGGATGGCAGAAGCGGGGGCAGTGGAAAATGCTATGACAGCCTGTCTGGTAATTCATTCTAGTTCTAGTTGCTTGTTTTATACTTATGCATAATACAAGACTATTAGGTATATCTCTCTGTGTAATGTTGTAAATGTATCAATATTTTGTCTCTTGAAAGTGATAAGTGGTACCTTCTCTGGCATCATTTCAGATCTGGGTTTTGTGTTGATGTGTTTTCAGTTAGTTAGATTTCAATAGTACAAATGTTCACAGCGTGATTAAAGTAACCATTCTCACATTATTTTTATGTTTCTGATTTATTAAACTGTCAGTTATATTAGTTCTATTTCCTTGTTTTACTTTTATCCTTCATACCAGTATGTTGACTACTACAAGACATGTAACAGTGTTATTGATGGGTTTGTGTTTTGGTCAAATAATATCAAGACACTAGAGCTAAACTTGTTAAAATAGATATATCATATTCAAGCTGAAAATTGAAATAAATAAACAGACATTTATATGTTTCAGGACACTGCTCAATGATTGGGAACAAAACTGGCAAAGTTCTTGGCTATTCGATCCGCTCAAAGAGTTGCCGAATCTGCCATCAAGCAAATAAAGCTAACAGGACTCCTGAAGAGCATGACTGCAGAAGAACTGGGACGGTTCCAGTAAAGGTATGGAACCTGACATGGTATCTGAGATGGTAGTTAAAGCTAAGGAAGAGGATGTATGTGGACCTCAATCATAGGAGATGATGATGCTACAAGTATAGCCAGATTAAGGGCAAATGTGGACAAGGACATTGTTAAACAGTCTGACAAAAATCATGTGAGGAAAGGTTTAGGTAATAAACTGTATCAGCTGCAGAAAAAACACAAGACACTGAGCACCAAAGTAATCAGGTATCTACTAAAAAATGTTTCAACTACATGATCAGCCAAAATAAAGGAAACCAAGATGGAATAAGCAGAGGATTAACTGCACTATCATGTCATCCATTTCCAGGATCACAGTAAGTGTGATGACACTTGGTGCAGATTTTGAAGTCGTCAAGCCCAAGCTTCAGGTCTCTTCCTTATGGTAAAGCTCTGTCAGATTTGACTTTACAAGCGGACCTAAAAGCTTTGTTTGACAACTATGCTATACACAAAGTAAGACTTGCCAGTCTTGGAAGTACACAATCCAATGAAAGTTTTAACAAGACCGTGTCTAGCAAGGCACCAAAATCTAGACATTATTCTGGCTCCTCAAGTCTTCACTTCCCAGGGTCGCTGCCTCGCTGGGTAAAGAAAGTATCAGGGCCACAGCTACATTATAGCTGTAAGAAATATGTATTCTGTTCTATGGTTCGATTTCAGTTGATTTGAAATCATTTAGAAGTTGAATTAGAAATGTATCTCTGTCTCTACAGTTCCAGTTCAGTTTTGTTGCTAAAATTATTTAGAAGTTGAATTTGAAATGTGTCTTGTTCTATAGTTCCAGTTCAGTTTATTTGAAGTCCTTAGGAAGGGTAATGTGGCTAAAGATTAAAGATAAAGTAAAACTGGATTTTAAGTTTGAATTGAAAAGTTATGGCCCATGATTGTTGACAATATACTATTAATTTTTAATGGTTACAGGGATGATGAGTTCTCTCTGAAATTGCTTTGTTCTGTTTTATGCTACTTTCATCCTGGTCTCAGATATGCAAAATATATATAAAAAATCATTCCTATTCATTAGTGGCTTAAAAGAATTCTTATGTTAATCAATGGTATAATGTGTAACACTCTAAGTGCCTTAAAGTTATAAAGAAAAAATTCATGACCATTTATTAATAATTGATAATCCCTCCTCTACAGGTTAACAATACTCTTGGACTGTCACCTGGGACCTATACCAGACAGCATTTCACACTGAAAGATCTTCAGCATCGCAAACGAAAAGCTATTGCATCAACAATTAAAGCTAAACAGCGTAGATTACATCTCAAGGTTATGAGGTATGTCAGCTTTTAACTGTGACCTCTAGTAGAAAATTATTTCTGGTGTTCCCTGCCGTGATATTTACTGGAGTATTGCTAAAAGCGGCGTAAAATCATACTCACTCCAGTAGAAAATTATATATATCATATTCTACCATGATAGAGAAGGATACAAGACAAGAAGTTGGTCAGTCTTGAAAGGCATTGTTAATGATGTAATGCTCTGAGGCCCTATATTCCGTAATGAAGAACGAAGTAGTCTACAGATATGTAACCATCATACTCATTGGGCTATTGACAACATAATAGTTTTTCATAAATCTGTTTCAGAAGTCAGAAGCGAACAGTTCAAGAAGTCAGAGAAGGTACGACATACTCTGCCATGGTTGACATGTCTGAGGACACTGACGCCGATGACCTTGTTAGTATTCCTCCACCACTCCCTGTACCTGTCCAGGAGCCTTCAGCTTCAACAACAACACCACAGAGATATTCTTTGATCTTGAAACTACTGGCTTAGGTATGTAAAACTATAAGTGAAATGGAAATAGAGATTATCACACGAATCAGGTTTTGGGATGGTAAATACCCAGCATTAGGAATAAATACTATTTACCATACCAAAATACACTTCTGCGATAACATCTTTATCATACCATGTCGTTCTTCTTTTCTATTACCACTAAATGGCCTGCAACATTATGTAGCTTGATAGAAAATGCCCTGAAATGTGCACATTAATGCATTTCAGAGAAACACAGGTGAATGATAGATTATAGAAGCAGGAACCCATTTGGAGATATTACTTAATGTTTTTAAATTTTGATAGATTCTATGTTTTACCATGTTTAATAATTTTGATACACTTTGCTTGACGTTTCAAATATTCAATAGAGTGACTTCATAATGATTTTGAAAAGAAGTTGAGGCATTTGATCTCTAATTTGTGATCGATAATTCGTGATATGACCCCAACGGATAAAAAAATATCTGTTGACTTTTATCCTGACGAGGACACTATGCATTGTAAGATATATTTGAATATTAAGATCTTGAATTTACTACTCCTGCAAAAGTTAGACTCACAATGCATTTATACCTGAATGTTTAAAATTGTGCTCTATAAATATATATATTTGATCTAAATATCTAATAAGTGTTCTGGCATTATTTGTGTAATCAATAATACAATGGTATTACAGGGTGGGGGTTGGGGGTTGTTTAACATCTATAAAAAAAAGTACTTTTTTATATGAATGCCTTCTTATGTCTGGCTTTATTCTCTTATAGCTTAGAGAACATCTCATGTGACACAGTTAGCTGCAGTCCGGGGTGAAGAACGATTCAACTAAGCTACGCTTGTACCTGAGGTACAGATTACTCCAGCTGCTGCACAGGTCACAGGCATACGTGTTGAGGGGAGAAGGATGTTTCACTACAGTGAAGAAGTTTTTCCTGTATCCTTAAAGACGGCTATTGGAGACCTGATTTCTTTCCTTAGCAAAAGTGAAGGCAATGTTCTGGTTGGGCACAATATCAAGTTATATGATTGTCCATTACTTTTCAATGCATTACTTGCCATTGATTACATACCACAATTTTCAAATCATGTACATGGTTTTCTAGATACACTTCAGCTATTCAAATTGACAAATCCTGGACTTAATTCATAATGCCCAGGTTGAGTTGTTTAAAAAAAATATTGTGGGAGTGACTATGTTGCACATGATGCCTTGTCAGATGCCTTGTCATTGCAACAGCTGTACTCAGCTTGTCATGCTTCTCTTGATGCAAAGACCCAATCTACTTTTTGTGTGAAGTATTGTACAGACTCCTTGGCACGGTCTAAAGCTACAAAAACTAATCTTCCAAGCCTTCAACACCTTGTGTGTGAAAAGGTTTTATCTACAAATATGGCCAGAAAGATAGCCTCTAGTGGTCTCTGCTTTGACCACTTGAAAGTAGTTTTTACAAAAGACAGGGAGATACTGGATTATCCAATGTGTTTGCTGAAAAGTACCAGAACAAAATGCAGGGTAACAAGCTCTCAGAAGATTGTAAATTTCTATCTCACTACCTTTCCAAAGTTACAGTTTGATCAAACTTTGTTGTTTCAACATGACCTGTATTTCTTTTTTAGTTCAGTGTTTTACACTGTAGAATTCGATTATCTTAAAAGATATTTTTATCCCCACCGCGAGAGTTTCGTGATGAAGCGGAGGGTATTAGGTTCTCCATCCATCCGTCCATTCATACAAACAAATTGGAATATTTCTGGAACCATTAACTAGATTCTTTCTCATATTTGGTACCTAGGTACAAAATGGTATGGGGGCGGTGGGTAGCCTAATGGTTAAAGCGTTGGTTTGTCACGCCGAAGACTGGGGTCTGAATCCCCCATGTGTACAATGTGTGAAGCCCATTTTTTGGCGTAAAACCAAACCTCCAGTCAGTCAGTCAGTCAGTCAAAATGGTATGAGAAAGGTCCCAGTCAGGTTTCACCTTTTCAAGATTACAAGGAGCTAACACTTTATTAAAGTCCGCGAGATATAGAGGGTATTTTATTGCTTATTATATGCTTCATTGATGGAAAAATGAGGTATGATAAATCAAAATTGGTCCACTTTAGCTGTTTCTGTTGTCATCATACCATTGTTGCACTGTCACTTAGCAACCGCTGATGTTCAGGTTACATCATCCCTCTTTGTGATATTTTCACATTGATGAGAAAAGCGATATCTCACTGTAGTGATGAGCACTTTTCTCACTGTTTAGCATATAATAAATCTCAAAACAGTTCACTGGATTTCTTTTTCATACTTGACACCAAACTTCATCTAGAGAAGGTGCAGGGATCACTGTTGTTTTTGGTGACCGTGACATATTTTTTTCAAGGTCACGGTGACACACGAAGATTTCAGCAGATCTTCACTATCATTCCTCTCTTTAATTTGAATTGTCACCTTAGGAGATTATGTCACCTTAGTATATTTGAATATGTGCACCTAGTTGTTTCATGTAAATGAGATCATTTAGCTTGAATTTAAAAAATTATCATGCTTTAGCCGATTAATCATTTTGCAAATACATACAAATGTTATTATTGTTTATTGTGGAATATATGTTTGGCTTCAATACAAGCCTCCAACATTTTGTTATATCCACAACACCACATGTTTTTATGTGATAGTGTAAAAATCATGTTGAAATAACAGATTAGCCTTCCTAACTTATTGATATCTATTTACCTTCATGAATTGTGATATAGTTCACTGATTACTTTATTTATTATAAAATGGCTTTATTGAATATATTACCAGGACGTGTTAATACTTTTTCATTTATAACATAGATGTGTACATAGCTGTTACATCAAGTGATTATAATGCTAAACTTTCATATCCAAAATGTTATGTATAACTTTAAAATCAAATGCAACATGTATGTATGATATGAAATTAAAAAGTACAATAATGTAATAAATGTAACATTTTGTTGTTAAGATTGTGTGTGTTTTGTTATTTCAAAATAATATTATTAAATAATTACTCCATTGAGTCTATAATGATATAACCATTCTTAGCCAATGGTGGATAATGCCCAGTGTGTCAAATTCTTAACTCTTCACCTTTCGCTTAAAATATCAGATAAATGTTAACATGGATGCACTTAAGCTAAGATATTTTAATTGTCAATGCAGTAAGTCATTCAAATATTTGAGGAAAACTATTTAAGCCACATATATCCTTAATTTTATCATGAAAATTACATAACATTGGTGCAAATATGTATTATAATGTTACACATTGTGTCATAGTGGAAAATATACCCACAGTGACCTATGTTTTTTATACTTATTTTATGGCAAAACATGTTGTCATTAACATATTGGGATTTAAAAAAATTTAAATACTAGGAAATTATGAAAATGAGGGATCATGTCAGAACTTTGCCCATGATTTTCCCATAGACTCCCATGTTAAAAGTCTTGGCTAGCCAAGGATTCTTCAAGATCTATATCTCCAGAAAACCCACAGTACCCAACATCCTTAAAATCAATATACGTTCAATCAATCAAGCCGCATAAAAGGGAAGTAAATTTTAGATTACGTCATGAATATACATTACCGCTATATCTAAAGCAGTTCCGTTAAAATGAGCATTCCAAGAAATCCTCAATCAGAGCGGATCATTGCAACCTTTCCCCAACCATCATTATCCATAGTTCCGCCAAAGCAGGGAATTAAGTGCTGCAGTGGCAGTTGCTGGGGTTTAGTGACACTAGGTGTATACTTTTACAGACCAAAGCAGGCTTCTTCATACCAATTATCACGAACGCAGAACGATGGGTGACACGTTGGCCATTCGAACTCATTTTATGGCGGAAATTATGTATAACACAAGAACATCACGCCAACATAGACATACTCTTCAGCAATGCATGCTTTTCTTAATTGACGACTAACCAACCTAGGTGACTGCTAATAGGGTATTTGATGCATGTCATCATTTCTAAATTGCCGGACAGATGCTTATAATGCTTATTGTTATATTAGTTCATCAGTATGTTTGACGCCAGGCTATAACGATAATATCGATTATGAGGTGAAGCAAATTCTTTTTAAACATAAAAAAAATATATACGAGTTGCGCCACAGGTATGTTTTAAAGACACGTCAAAATATTCAACACATATAGAACTCCCCCTTACCGGTAATCCCAGCAAGGGTATGTACTCTATACATTGCATAAATAGGTATGGTCAGTAATATTACTAAAATATGGCCTGTTAGACATAGTGTGAATGTTTGTCAGAACGTTTTATCCATTCCGTTTGTTGGGCTTCCAGGCAATCAATATACATCTGTAACGAGCAGAATACAACAAACGAAAACAATAGTTTTTGCTCCATAAAGTCTCGATATGAAACAGCCTGTTGTTCTCTCGGCTGGACAAGCCATGAGATACTGGTGATTATATGAAGTACATAAATACTATACCTACCGCTGCAGCAGTAACTGCTGTCGGGCCACTTTCTGGAGTATGCCATGGTAATGAAGCTGTCACCGACTCATTTATCATACAATCAAACAATTATTCGATATCCTAATGAAAAGCTTTCGTCGATGGGAGAGGAATTAGCTTACTAGATTTGAAATGATTCTGGTTGCACAACGACAAAAAAAACCATTGCATTTATACTGGACCGCGAATGACGAATGCGATCTTGTTAGGATCAGTTGACGAATATTTGTAATACTATGGTATTGAAAGAACTCTCAAAGGAATTGGTTATGGCTTTGATGACAAAGACGTCTCTGTGAGATGCATGGCGCTCATCACGTCATGGAGTGCACATGCCTTCATGTAAATGTTGTGTATATTCTTGTTGTTTGATTTGTATTATTAATTGGTTGTTGTTGTTATTCTAGGTGTTGATGTTGTTGGTTTTGTATGTTGGTACTGCTTGTTTCGGTGCACTTGTTGGAGTCCTTGCGTTGTGTTTGTGGTTTTCGTTCT